AAGGAATAAGTGCTATTTGCTTTCCATTTACAATAATAATATACATTCTTTGGAAAACATATAGAAGTATAAAGAAAACAAAAATCATCCATAATCTCTCCACTCAGAGATAACTACTACAAATATTTGCTAAATTTTTTCTAGTACACTTAAAATATATTCGGATTATAGAAAAGATGTTATTTCCTGCTTTTTCATTAACATACTGCAGTCATTTCTTTAGGTAATTAAATCTTCCTTAGAAACAGGATTTTAAATGGCCACATAATTTTTTTTTTTTTTGGCTGCTGCAAAAAGCTTTATTGTTTCAATTTGGTCCATGGTATGGGAGAGGGCCCCGGGGTGGTTAGAAGGCTGCCTAGCTGTTTCAGGGAGAGGCTCAGGCAGAAGCCCAATGCCAGGGGGATGCAGAGGGGCCCCTCAAAGGCCTCTGGGCTCCAAAGGCTCCTCCTAGTCGTGCTTGAGGGTGAGCCTTTCGAAGAGATACTCGCCAAGCCCGGCCTGGGGGCTGGCCAGCCTGCGGAGGTTAGTCAGGTGGTCGCGCATCGTCTTGATGAGTTTCACCTCCTCATCTAGGAAGTGGTTCTCCAGGAAGTCACAGACATGGGGGTCTGCGCGGGCAGAACCCAGGGCGTGCAGATCCAAAAGGGCCTGGTTCAGGTTCTTCTCAGTGGTCATAGCAGCTTCCATGGCATCCTGAGTTTTACCCCACTCATCTTGGGAAGGCTTCTGCAGGTCCTGGAAGAGGGCGCGACCGCCACGCAGGTCTGGCATCTTCAAGAGACGTTCCGCACCCTCCCGCTTCTCCTCCGCCAACTCACGGAAGAAGTGGCTCACGCCCTCTAGAGCCACATCATCGCGGTCGAAATAGAAGCCCAGAGAGAGGTAAGTGGAGGAGGCCCGCAGATGCAAGTCGACCAGGCGGTTGACGGCGGCCTCCACCTCGGTGGCATAATTTTGACGAACTTGGGAGCTCATGGTTGCTCAGCAGTAAGGAGTTAAGCTCAAATAACGGTGTTAGCTGGTCTCGCGGAGGCCGAGGATGACTGAGTTGGTTCCGAAGGTTGAGACTGGAGAAGAGGTTGGAGGGTGGTCGGAGGCTGGAAGAAGGGGCGTCCCTGGGTCTGTTCCGTCCAAACACTGTTGAAGCAAGACACAGATCCGGGGGACAGTCGAGGGAACTCCCACATAATATTCTATTGAACAGATACTCAGCAATTTACTTAATCGCTGATCTCTTAATAGATGTTTAGATTACTGTTAAGTTTTTCACCAATTAAGAATAAAACTGTCATGAATACTCTTATATATAGATCTTTCTGCAGCTGAATATTTCCTTAGGAAAAAATTCCTACACCTGAATTCGGTGGGCTTTGCCATCTATTTAGATTGCCCTCCAGAAGAGCTGGCTCACATGTGTGTGTCTTCCCAGCTCTGCATTTGGTAACATGTAAGTGCTTTGACACTGGACACAGGAGAATTTATCCCAGAGAAATCGGCAAACACTCCAAGCCAGCCTGTTTCCTCCCAGTTTGCTAGTTGTTAACCCTTTACCAGCACACACTGGAACAATGTACCAAATTTTACTTCTCTCAGTGTATTTAAGAATGTCTTCTCACATGAGCACTTGATGCTTCCTTTAACAGCACTGATTATTTGTTAATTTGACACCTGAAAATGGCATCTCATTTTGTTTTAATTTTTATTAACTTATTAATGAATTTGATGGTTCTGGTCTAAAGGATCTAATGTGTATCTTAAAATCATTGTCTTATTTATCATTTCCTGCTTACCTTCTAATCTAATCTATCCTAATCTCTGATGGGCAGTGTGCCTGCTAAATAGTACCTGGAATTATCAAGTACAAGGGAGAAGATCCTAAATGAGGAATGACGCTAGCAATCACAGTCATCTGTACTCATGCAGGGAGGATAAACTGTGCAGATGACAGATAACAGGTGCCCTCTGACAACTGTATATTACCTGAGGAGGGGAAAATTCACACAATCATAGGCATAGTCAGTTCCTGAGCACACTGTGATTTTGCAACTGGATATAAAAATCAGAATTTCAGAAACATTATTAACTATGTGGGGGAAATCATTAAAAATGTTTAAAAATCTAGTTTAAAAGAATTGCCTGAAATCATGTGAGGTCTTATTCCTCCCCTAATCTGAACACTAACTCCAAAGCCTGTATAGGCATGAAAGGGAGCAGAAGAGGCAGACGCTTATATTGCCAACGTGAGAAAACTCAAGTGGCTACGTGTGGTGTCTACTGTGAGTGGCCCTACCTAGCATCTCAGTACTGCCCCTGACCCACTCGTTCTCACACACATACTTTTCACTAGGTTTTCCTCCCTTTCTTCGCTTGACCCATGTGCTTAGGGAAAATCTGAGTCCCACTTTCTATTTTAGAGGTGGTTCTAGTTTAAATCCCACAGAACATTCCATTTCCCTCAACGAAGTCTTTGATTCAGGTTAGTTGTGTGACCTAAGAGATCCCATCAAGGTGGACCTCTGTATTCTTGCTAGGCATGCTGGGCTAGATGTGATCTCTCACCCCGAAGGAGAAAACACACAGCTGGTTTGCTATCAGCAACCACCTGTCAGCCCTGTGGGGGAGGGGAACCAGGCTTACAATGCAGCTAGTGATGCTGAAGACCTAGCAGAGATAGAGGGAAACGGTGTCTTTGATGAAATTGTTGAGCCACTCGCTCAGGGAACCCCAAAGCCCATGATACCTCTGATTTCCCGGTACCTAAGCTGAAACTTCTCTTAGTTATTTAAGCAAGAAGTAAAAGGGAAAAGAGTGGGTAACTGTTCCTAACTTTCAAAGCTGTCCCTATAATTCTGAGCTCTCTCAGGCTACTTACACAATAGTCAAATTTTAAAATTTAAGTCAGATCATGTCACTCACCTGCTCTTAATCCTCCAGTGGCTTCTGTGGTTAACACTAAAAATAATAGTAATAATCATCAGTAGTCCAGCGCACTTCCTGGCTCCACGTGTCTAGCCTCTGCAGCCCCAGTATCCCCTCCCCTAGAGTGCTCTAGCTACTACAGCTCTCGTCTCAGTGCCTTTGCACTTACTATTTCTTCTGTCTGGCATGCCTTCTCCCAGGATCTTCACATTCAAATCTCCACATTCATTCATTTACCAGCTCAAATATTAATCATCATAGGGGGCTTCAATGACCCCCTTATCTAAAGCAGTACCCACTCCTCTGCTCCATTTTTCTTCATGGTACTTATCCTTGCCTGGATTTATATTATTTACTTTTTAAATTTCTCAGTCTCATCAGAATGTAAGTTCCATAAGGACAAGGACTTTATTTTATTCACAACTGTGAATATCTGGCACCTAGAACATTTCCTGGCATAGAATAAACAGTCAATAAATATTTATTGAAGAAAAAATAAACAAGAAAGTAATCTCAAAAAGTGATGTTCCTTAAGAAGAATTATCTGGGGCGACCAGATGGCTCAGTTGGTTACAGCGCATGCTCTTAACAACAACGTTGCTGGTTCGACTCCCGCATGAGATAGTGAGCTGCGCCCCCCCCCCAAAAACTAGATTGAAAATGGCAGCTGGACTTAGAGCTAAGCTGCACCCTCCACAACTAAGATTGGACAACAACTTGACTTGGAGCTGATGGGTTCTGGGAACAACATACTGTTCCCCAATGAAGTTTTTAAAAAAAGAATTATCAATGTAGAGTATTTGACTACTTTTTATTTTAGTAATGGGCTACACACTGCTGGTTGGGTGACCCAACAACCACTTCCTACCCCTTTGCCTGGCTGCTTTTCACTATCTTGCCTGCAAGATTTAAATACTTGTCTTCTTAAAGTGCATTGCTGCTCTGGGCTTGCCTGTACTAACAGTTCTGGCCGATGAGATGTAAGTGGGAGTCTGGAATGTGCTTCTGGGAGTGCTGCTGGTTGCCGGGTAAAAGGGACAAACAAAGCTGACTCTATCTTTCCTTCTTATTTCTGCTCAGAATGCAGGTATGATCATGGTGGTGAAGCAGTGATCTGACCATTGGCTACAAGCTTAAGAGAAATGGCATATCATACTACTGAGCTATTCCAACAATGCCAATGATGAAAACACTGAACTCAACTGTTGACTGAGTTTTTTATTACGTACAGTGAAACAAATCATAACAGACAGCGGTGACAAAAGGAAGTGCAATATTCAATGAATATTTATTTGTGCAAGTGCAAGACACTGTGGTAAATGGTAATGCAGATATTAAGTCCAACAAGTCACTGTTCCTGTTCCCAAGGAGTTTCCAAAGTAAATGAGGAGAGAGATTCTAATATAAGGTAGAATGGGATAACTGTTAAAATCACCATCTGACTATGAGCTTTGTGAAGTCACTACTCAGTGCCCACCAAGATGTCTGACATATATTGGTGTGAAATAAACATGTATTGAGCAAATGAATGTGGGATGAATGCCATCTGGGTATCAGGAAAGACTTCAAAGTCTTGAGTGGCAACTTAAAGTATAGGTAGGACTTCAACAGGAAGAAATGGTGGGAGAAAGGTAAAAAGGCATTTTAGGCAGAGAGAAGAGGCAGCTTAAGGGTACAATGAAAGGAAGTCATAACATATACGAGGAGAATGATGTGTGACCATTTTCTCTAGGTAAAAAAACATGCAACTACTTCTAACTTAAGAAGGGATGATAATTAAATGTTTATGTCTTCATAAGATTAAAAAAATACCCTAAGCAGACATTCTTCAGAAATATGCACTAGTGAAAAATATTTATTTTACAAACAGAATAAAGCCAACATTCTTGTTTACTCTGATGATTGATAACTTGCAAATGGGAGGTACATCTGTAACCAAATGCAGTTTTTAAAAACTGAGTACACTTAGCATGACATTCTCAAGATCCATCCATGTTGTCACAAATGGCAATAGTTCATCATTTTTTATGACTGAGTGGTATTCCATTGTATATATGTACCACACGAAATAAATCAGATAGAAAAGAACAAGAACAATATGATTTTACTCATATGTGGGATATAAAAACAGAAAGCCACAAATGAACCAAACAAACCAAATAAATAAACAGCATAGTGTTGCAAGAGGGGAGAGGGGTAGGGCGAAAATAAAGAGGGTAAAGGGGGTCAAATATATGGAGATAGAAAGATGGAAATATATGAATTGGGTGGTGAGTACACAATGCAATATACAGAAGATATGTTATAGAATTATATATCTGAAACATATATAATGTTATTAACCAATGTTACACCAATAAATTTAATTTTTAAAAAACCTGAGTACTAAGCTTGAAGTTTTTAGGGCCAGCAGAGTGTCTCAGCTGGTTGTCATCTTAAGAGAGCAAGCTCTGAGCAACAGGGCCACCGGTTCGATTCCCACATGGGCCAGTGACGCTGTGCCCAAGCTGAGCTGCCGCTGAGCTGCCAACAGGTGGCAGGATGGCTCAGCTGGTGAAACAACAAGACTGCCTGTTCAATGGTGGGCTACTCCCGCTCACAACTAAGACTGAACTCAGCACTTTGAGCTGAGCTGCTGCCCGGATGGCTCAGTGGATAGAGCATGCACTCTTAACAACAAGGCTGCTGGTTCGACTCCCACATGGGATGGTGGCTATGCCCACCCGCACTAAGATTGTAACACACACCTTGAGCTTAGAGACCACGAGCTGCCGACAGGCAGCCAAATGGCAACTGGTGCCCTCCACAACTAAGACTGAAGAACAACAACTTGGCTGGTCCCCCTCCCCAATTCCCCTCCCCTAACTCCCCAATTTAAAAAAAGCTTTTGAAGTTTTTACAGCTTAGTCTGTGAAGTAAAAATAAAAACATTACTGAGAACTCAAAGATGTGTTTTGTAATTACAAAATAGCTCTGGATGGAAATTGTTTCTAGAGAACAAGCTCTCTGAGTTTTATGATGATGAGAATTGGGCGTGAGGGAGCGAGAGGATGAGGTCTGTCCCAGAGCTTATTTTATCTCCTGGGATGTGCAGTCACCTTCATTGAAGGTAAGTAATAGTACCTAAAATTATAGCTGCTAGCAACTAAAGATAAAAGTAAGATTAGCTTAAGTAAGACTTGATTCACTCTTATTGGAAGTCCAATGTTCTGTCCAAAACTTCTGTTTCCTGGGGGACATACATTGCAAAGGAATCTCT